GAGTCATCAAGTAATTGGGACAGTTTGTATAACTCGAGAAATAAAGAAATACAATGAGGTGGTAGGATATACCCCTTGTACATCTACCCTAGTAGTAAATTCAGATAAGAATACAAAAACCTGGCAACCAAAACCTCCTGCTGGATATTGGGGAATAATAAAAGAAACTAATTGCAAGTGAGATAACCATGTTGATTTGTGTTGGTATAAAAGTCCTGGCGCTAACCTGTACCAATCCATAAGTCACCTAAAATTCTATTGGGAACAACCAGGTACAACAAGTAATAAATGGAAAGTCCCTGATGGAATATATTGGATTTGTGGGCAAAGAACATACAGTGAATTACACCAAAAGTGGAAAGGAACCTGTACCTTAGGAGTTATACAACCCTTCTTCTTTGTTATACCGAGGTCCAGGAGCAATATGTTAGGAACACTACTTTACAAAACATTAGAAAGGAATAAAAGGGACTTGAACTTTGACTTCCCAAGAGCAGGATGAAAACAGAAATGGGGTGAGGACAAAAGGCCTTCAGAGAGAATCATAGCATATTATGACCCAGCCACTTGGGCCGAGGATGGATCTTGGGGATATAGAACCCAAATTTATTTAGTGAATCAGTTAATAAGGGTACATGCAGTAGTTGAAGTAGTTTCAAACCATACGTCTACTGCCTTAAAGTTGCTGGCCAAGCAGCATTTGCAAATGCGAGCATTTGTATATCAAAACAGAATTGCCCCAGACTACCTGTTAGCTGAAGAAGAGGGAGTTTGTGGAAGATTTTAACAAGTCTGAATGTTGTGTGGAAATAGATGATCATGGAGAAGCCATGATGAAAATTGCTGAAGAAATTAAAAGAGTAGCACATGTACCAGTTCAGAAATGGAATTCTATTCTGAAGACTGACTGGTGGGATAACCTTTTTGGAGGTACTTGGTGGAAATAACTAGGATTTATGATATTGTGTTCTACATTAGGATTATTGTTTCTACCTTGTATGATTCCATGCCTTTATTAGACTAATCATTCAGTAATCCAAGGAATGCAAGTTACTGCCATAACCACTGATCCAGAATCAGCAGAAAAAGTGAAGCCAAACTCTTTGATGATATTAAAAGCAAAATCTACAGGCACTCAAAAGAAAAGTAAAAATATGTTAACTGAACAAAAAGAAACGATAATAGCTCAAGAGATGTTAACCAAATTTGAAAGAGAGTGTAAAAAGCTTGATGCAGCATGAGAAATGTTAGAAAAAATTGAAATGGAAATAAGGACAACACAAGAAACAGGATTAAGAATATAAAGGAATACTAAAATTCAGAAGCATGTATCAATGTGATCAAAAAGAGAAATGAGGGATTGTAATAAATTGAATTGATTTGCGCTAACTAAATTATTAGAAACAATCAAGAAAATTACTGTTACAAAGCAGATGTACCCCTTTACAGATGTTACATGTCAAAATTGAGGTACAGTGTGTAGTTTGGAAGATAAGCGGTGTCTCAAGACTAAAACAGCCTTGAGGTAGACTTACATAACACAAAGCTTAGTACGTATGCACAAACCTGTAAGGTTATCCAAAGGACAACGAGGAAGAGGAGAAGCCTTCGCCAAAAGATCACCAAAAGAAGCCTGAAGACCCCCCTAACAAGTGCAAGCCTAAGTGAGGCATGCGCCGTGAAGAAAAGTGACATAAAGTCAGAGAAGTTGAAAATAGGAGGAAACTTACGGGAAACATTAATGAATATGTATAAGCATACAGTATGTAAGTTTAGCTTGAAGTGCTTTGTTTTGTACGTGAAGTAGGGTAACAAGCCCTCCCTGTACCCTGGTCAATTTTGCTTATGCCTTAACCATACTTAATTACTGGCCAACTATATATTCATATACACAGACAGATATCTGAATATATTACTAAATTGTACTCTTTTGCTATATTCTATTTTTTCTATCAAATGGTTATTCACTAAATTGTACTCTTTTACTAAATTGTATTCCTTTCTATATCACATTGCTATTTACTATTTTTGTATCCAATTTATTAAAGTGTTCTATTAATTAACTAGACCTAGTTGTCTGAAATTTGAAAGTCATATATAACATCCTCATTCTCTTTCCATCTGAGGCTTGACTCTTTCTTTTACTGACTTTGATGTTTCATGTTGTTTCTTTACATGTCGATTGCTCTGTCTTTTCTCTCTCTGCAGAGAGGATTAAAGTCTGCATGTCTCAACTGTGTAGTGAAAGGGTTAAATCTGCCCCAAGGCGCGGCAGGCAGTCACAGTGTCGGATTTCAGGCCGGCAGCCGCTGGGAGGGAGGGGACGGTCTTCGGCCTGGAGCCGTCAGTTCCGGCCCGGGAGGGAGGGGGAGAGGTGTCGGCGAGGGCTTGGTCCGGCCCAGCTTGGGGCCCGGAGCCTCCTGGGAGTGAGCTTCGGCCACCCCGCCAGAACGGGACCCGAAGGGCTTCCCGGGAGAAGCCAGCACCGCAGCACAGGCTGACCCAGCCTGGGCGGGGTTGGCCTGAAGACTCCATCCGCCCCCCAGGAGCTTCTGGGGACCAGCCTGGCCCTGCCCAGCCCAGGCCGCACGGGCTGCGGGGGAGTGTGCCAGCCGCCCCAGAGTTTTGCTACCTTTCAAGGCCGGACGGAAAGAGAAAGAAGTTCCCGGGCTAGAGTTTTTAAGATACGGAATTCACAAAGGTGGACTTACTTTTCAGTAGTGCAAAATGCTGTCAGTTCTCAGAACTGGCTAGCTATTGGCTTGATCTCAGGCACAGAAAAAACTCTCAGCAGTCTTTCTCAGAGAAATCACTTCCGTGTTTCCCTCTTCTTTCTCTAAATGCCAAACTAACCAGACGGGATTAACCCCTTTGGTTGTCTGACTTCCATTTCGTGATCCTCACCCCTTTCTCCCCCATGTTATAAATGAAAATAGAATTTTGACAACTAGGTCCCTTGGGTTAATGGCAGTTTAATTAAAAATTAATACCATTTAGTAAATTGCATAGTAATTTGGTATAAAATAATACAGTTTAGTCAAAGAAAACAATTTAGCAGAAAAATTACAATTTATATATATAATCTGCCAGTAATTAAGTATGGTTAAAGCATAAACAAAACTGACCAGGGTACAGGGAGGGCTTCTCACCCCACCTCACATACAAAACCCACCAGGTATGGAGGTTTCCCACCCAGCCTCATGTACAAAACAAAGCACTTCAAGCTAAACTTATATACTGTATGCTTATACATATTCATTAATGTTTCCTGTAAGTTTCCTCCTATTTCTGATTTTTCTGACTTTACGTCACTTTTCTTCACGGCGCATGCCTCACTTGTTGTTAGGGGGTCTTCAGTCTTCTTTTGGTGATCTTTTGGTGAAGGCTTCTCCTCTTCCTCGTTGTCCTTTGGATAACCTTACAGGTTTGCGCGTGCGTACTAAGCTTTGTGTTATGTAAGTCTACTAATTAGTCTTATATTTACTAATCTTTAGGCCCAATGCCTAAAGTTGTTCTAATTTTGTCCATCTCAAGGCCATTTTAGTCTTCCGCTTATCTTCCAAACTACACACTGTACCTCAATTTTGACATGTAACATCTGTAAAGGGGTACATCTGCTTTGTAACAGTAATTTTCTTGATTGTTTCTAATAATAACTTTCCAAATAGTTATGTGAAAAACAAGGTTCACACAATTTTTATAGAATTTAAAAGTTTAGTAAAAAACGATTAGGAGAAAAAAAATAAAGTATACAGATACAGCCAGGTGTCTCTGCATTCAGCCAAGAGAGCACACCTTACTAACAAAGGATTGTCCCTTAAAAACAGAACCCTACTACATATCCATAAATTCTCACACATATTCTCATACATTCTTCTTAGGATCTTTGGTGTTCCCCCGTTTAGTTTTCTCTTGCCCCCTTCTCAATAGATCAGTCTTCTTGGCGCCATCAAGATTTACATTCCCTGATACCAGAAATGCAATAAATTCCTCCCCCCAGAGTTCTGGTCACTGCTGTTTTCATCTGGATAAGACAGTTTACAAATGCAGGTGTTCTCTAGCTATTTTTTTTTCTCAGTCTTTGGGTTATAAAAACAAAAGCAGTTTTTATTTTAATATTATGCCATAGCCTAACATATATGTATTATACCACTATTTCCAAGTTTCATCAATAACAGAAAGGAAACTATGTTAATACAACAAATTTTTCTAATCTTATACATACAACATTCATTACAATATTTGTGAAAAGCCAACAATATAATATGTATCTATAACAGTTACAATTTAGTTAGCACGAATCAATTCCATTTATTACACTCAGGTGGATGGTGAGCGCCACTTGCTGCCACTGTGACTGCGTGAGGGCTCGGTGGGGGTGGTGCAGGTGGGGTCCCACCAGCTGCTCCAAGTCCAGAGGTCCCCCAGATCCTCTATGATTGCAACACGTATGTGGTGCTGATGCTGTCCCAACCCAATCCTGATGCCCCTGGGCCTCTCCAGCAACTTTAACAGGGACCCCAACAATGATGACCCTGACAGGGAGGCTCTGGGCAGCCCCCCTCCCCCCCCAAACTGCAACCACATTCCTGCATGGAAAAATGTCCACATTGCTAAAGCCCCATCTGGTGAATGCCCAAATCACACCCCCAAAGGGGACACCCCTCAAAATGGGAAGCCTGAGTCCCCCAGTGGAACCCTGGGCAGTCAGTGGGGCCTCCCCAATGTCCCTAGATGGCACCGCATGGCACCACCCACACCAAAGTTGGGATGGCATTGATTCTAGGAAACACCTATTGGCCCCAGATGACCCCCCAGTAGCCCCACTGCCCCCCATTGACCCCTTTTGTTTCTTCCCTCCCTTTCCCAGCTCTCACCTGCCCCCCCAAGGGCCACTACCAGCTGTGTGCCCGAACCTGTGAGCACACCTGTGCAGGTGTGCGGGCCCCGCCCCCCTGCAGTGAGCGCTGCTTTGAGGGGTGTCAGCAGTGCGCCGAGGGGCTGCTGTTCGATGGGGCCCACTGCATCCTCCAGGGGACTTCGGCTGCCTCCACCAGGGGCGCTACTTCCAGGTGCACTGGATGTGGCCCCAGTGCCTCCCAGTACAGACCAGTTCCAGCCCTAGCTCCTTCTAGGCTCCCCATGTTGATCCTGGGCCCCTTTAGTGTGCTCCCCACAGTGTTCCCAGGCCCTCCCAGTACATCCCAGTTCTCCACCAGTCCTTTCCAGTTCCCTCCCAAGTGCTCACCAGTCCCCAGTCCCTCGCAGTACACCCCAGCATCCCCCATGTCACCATTTCTCCCCAGTGTTCTCTCCACTTCCCCCAGACACGTCCCTCAGTGCGTCCCCCTTTACTCCAGCATCTCTCCTCATGGTGAGAGACCCCAGGATCTCTCATCCCCTCCAGTCTCCCTCGATATTCCCTGTATTATCCAGAGTCCCTCCAAGGGTATTTGAGTCCTCCCCCACTTTCCCCCACAGTGTTCCAAATCCTTCCCAATTTGTCTTTGTTCCCCCACAGTGCCTCCCAATGCATCCCAATCACTTAGTGGGGGAACTGAGTGTCCTTCCAGTGTCTCCCAGCATGTTCCAATGTCCCCCTGTGTCTCCACCAGTGTTTCCAGTGTCCCCCAGCAGGTCCCAATCCCCCCAGTGTGTCCCCCTCCATGGGGGACATGGGGCTATGTGTGGACACGGGCACACACTGGGGACATACTGGTGGTCCCCATGGGCACTCACTGGGGATATGGAAACACATAGGTGATGTGGGAGACATGGGCCCCCTTCCCCCCTCCCACGACACCTCACAGCATCATCATCCCCATTTTTTGGCCATTTTAGGCCATTTTTCCCTACTCCCCACATTTTATCCAAGGAAAACAAATCGCTGAGACCATCCTGACCCCTGACTGTTCCCAGGCCTGCACCTGCTGAGTGCCTGGGGGCCCCCAGTGCCATCCCTTCACTTGTCCCTTTGGCCACACCTGGGGCCTCTGTGACGGCACCAGCACCTGCACCTGCATTGTACGCCCAGGTTGCTGCACTGTATCCCCTGCCACCCGTTTCGTCACCTTTGACGGTGTCACCAGGGCCATCCTGGCCACTGGCATCTATGTGGTGGCCAGCACGTGTGACCTCTGGGACCCTGCATGGCTCCAGCTCCTGGGGGACGTCAGGGACATTGGGGACTATCCGGCAGTGGTGACACTTCACCTTTTCAGCTCCCACAGGCTCATCACCATGCAGAGGGACAGGAAGGCCTGAGTGAGTTGTCACCACCCTGGGTGGCACCCAAAAATGTTGTCACCACCATGTGTTGTTGACCTAAACATCCACTTGATCTTCATTTTAATAAAAAAATCAGTATAATTCCCTAACTTCACACCAGGTAAGAGTCCACATGGGTTGTCCAACCCCACCAGCACCACAGGATGTTCTTACCTTAATTTTGCCCCAAATTCCTCTATTCTGCTCCCAGTTTCCCAACAGTGAAGCTCCTGTGCAGGTGCTGGTCACTAAGAGACATCCATAAATTGACACACCCCATAATTTTGACCAAAATTTCTTTTTTCCCCCAAATTCACATCAGAGAAGCACCTACATGGGTTGTACTTTATCCTACTCTCAGCATGCTTTGATGCATCCCATCATTTTTCCACAAACTCCCTTTTCCACCTAGATTCCTCCAGCTACCCTTCACCCCTCTATCACCCCAAATCCCCTTTTTTATTCTCCTAATTTGATATTGTCCAGCTCAATGGGGTCCCCACACCCCTGCCCATGGAGCTCCCGGGACCATTGACCATCACGGAGACACACATGACCCTCTGGATCAGCTGAACCCCGGGATTTCTGGTGTGATAATGGAACTGGCTCCGCAGGGGTGACAGTGGAGGTGCCCAGGGAAGCGCGGGTGATGCTCTGTGGCCTCTGCAGCGACTACGACGGTGCCACCAGCAATGACCTGCAAGCACCTGACATGCAGGTGCTGGCCGAGGCCTGGCAGGCACCTGACTTCAGCCAGGTGGGTGACACCAGGGGGACACTAGGGGAGGGGAGATTGAGGTATTTGGGTGTCTCGGGGCTGGCACTAGGGGTAACAGTGCCAAAAAAGGGTGGAAAAATTGCCTAAAAAAGAGTAAAAGAGCCCCCAAAAGGAAAAGCTCCAGAAAATGGAAAAGAGACCAAAAAGGGGAAAAAGAGCTCCCCCAAAGGGAGAAAAGAGCCCCAAAAACATGGGAAAGGAGGTCAAAAAGAGGAGAAAGAGTAAAAACTGGGGAAGGGACCCCAAAATGCAGGAAAAGAGACCAAAAAAAGGAGCAAGAGCACAGAGTGGGGAGAAACAACCCCAAAAGATGGGAAAAGAGTCACATAAGACTCTTTTATATGGGGAAAGGAGCCTAAAGAGGAAAAGAATTGAAACAAGTGTAAAGAGATCAAAAAGGGAGAAAACGGGGGGAAAAAAGGTGGAAAAAAAACCCCAAATGAGAATAAAAGTTCAAAGAGATGGGAAAAACACCAAAAATGGGGGAAAGAAATATTAAAAAGGGAGCAAGAGCACAGAAAACAGGGGGAAAGAGGCCAAAAAAGAGAGACACCAGAAACAGGGGAAAGAACCCCCCACAATGGGGGGAAAGCAACTGGGAGAGAAGCACAAGAAAAGGGGGGAAAAGAGCCCAAAACAGGGGAAAAGGGAATAAAAAAGTGGGGAAAGAGCCTCCCAAAATGAGGAAAGAGACCAACAAGAGAGGGGAAAGAGTTCAAAAATGGGCATAAGTCCAGAAAAGGGAGAAAAGACCCTAAAGTGAGGGAAACAGCCATGAAGTCCCCCATGATTTTGCCTTTCTTCCCACCCAGTGATGTGGAAAATTGACATTTCATCTGGGTGGCCGCGCCTCACCGCTGACGTCATCCTCAAATGCCTCAGATCCGGAAAACCCGGATTTTTATAACCCCCAAAACTGTGCTTTCGCCCCCAAAATAAAACCTTTGAGAAAACCCCGTTTTCGGGTGCTTTGGGGATAAAATCCTGGGAATTCTGGGAAAGCAGGAGCGTGGTAATGTGCTGGAGGGCAGCTGGGGGACGAGGAGGGCTGTTCCCACCCTGTCCTGCCGCGGGCAGTTCCGTGTCCCCACTTCCCCGCCCCCACCC